GCTCACCTGGACCCCTGGTTAGAACTCCCTAGGAGCCAGAGGAGCCTCATGCCGTGAGGGGGACGTGGCAGAGCTGAGACGGAGGATGGAGCCCCAGAGCAGGGCCATTACCAAACTGGGAATGTTTCTTAGCCCTTGGCACAATCTTTACTTTTGCAAACTGATAGGCAGTTTGGGAGTTAGGGAAAATAGGGGAATTAGATCTTCAGGAAGCAGCCTTCCAGATTGCAGAATAGAGGATGAACTGGGATTTTTTGTTTTTTAAGATTTTAGTTATTTATTTGAGGGGAGTGAAAGAAAACAAGAGCATGAATGGGGTGAGGAGCAGAGAGAGAAACAGACTCCCCACGGAGCAGGGAGCCCAATGCAGACGGATCCTGGAACTCCAGGATCATGACCTGACTGAAGGCAGATGCTCAACTGACTGAGCCATTCAGGCACTACTCCCACTCCTTTTTAAGATTTTATTTATTTATTTATCTATCTATCTATCTATCTATCTATCTATCTATATTTATTTATTTATTTGACAGCACACAAGCAGAGGGAGAGGGAGAAGCAGGCTCCCCACCAAGCAAGGACCGTAATGCGGGGTTCAATCCCAGGACCTTGAGATCATGACCTGAGTTGAAGGCAGATACTTAATTGACTGAGCCACCCAGGGGCCCCTGAACTGGGATATTCTTAAGTTGCAAATTGTTCACAGGGGTTGGGAAGCTCTTAGAGATGAATGACAATGGCCCCCATGAGGAAAAGAAGGCAGTGACCAGAAACCAATGTCTACCTGGGAAGGTCTCTGTTGAAGGAGATGGGAAACCGTTAAATGGAAATGAGGACATATAACCAAAGATGGAGTTAGGAGTGTGGCCCAGAGCCCACCAGAGTGAGCCGAAGCTTGCACTGAAACTCAGCACGACCAACAGGGCTGTTATGTATATTTGGGAAAAGAAACCAGACCTGGTCTTGGAGGCCAGTGGTATAATGTTAGGAGGGAACAGAAGGAAACGAGAGACTCTTGTGTCCCATTTTGTTTCCATCTTTTGGGCTTGAAAGAGCAGGACAAATGTTGATAGGAGGAACTTGAACCCAGGTTGGGTGATTCATCACCTGGGCCAATTTCTGTCTGGTGGTGGGCCTACAAGATGTGTGGGAAACAGCAGAGGACTTGGGAGCTGGAGATGACTAATGTCATGACTTTTTGATAAAAGGTAAAGGAGGTGGGCTCCTCAGATTACCATAGAGGAGATTTGGGAACACTTAGGAAAGCTCTCAGCAGGTGGTTGTCACTGGGGCTTGATATGGCTCATTGGGAACAAGGCCTAACAACTTCAGTTTATTTATTTGGACGTCAAAATACTCTGGATTGAGGTGAGGCCTTCAGTAGAGTCTTGGGATATCCCCCTGGACCACCTGATGGTGATGTCTGTGGGTTTATAAGCAGTGAAAGATCCCACTTTAAAGGGTTCGTTCTTGATTCCTTCCCAACTCCTACCCCCACCCTGTGGACCTCAGGGAAGAGCTCCACTCTGAACCTTGTTCTGTCCGTGGTTTGGATTCATGTCTCGGGGTGGGGGTGGGGGGCTGCGGATGGTGGTGCTGGCTGAACAGGACTGAGATCTTAGGGGCTCTCTGTGGGCCCCCTCTGGAAAGTGGAATGTACCAGGAAAGTGTGACTTGCTGCATTTAGGACCAGGAAAGTAGCTGTGCAGGTACAGGCTGGGGTTTGTGGCTTATCAGCAAATAAGTGGTGAGAAGAACTCTTTTGACTTTGCTGATTGCAAACCCCATATATCTCAGCAGGAGGATGTGGCTTCCAGAAGAGCTGGTGTGGGCTCTGGCTCCACAGACAGACACTCAGCAGGTACCAGGGACGTGATGCTCTGGGTCCCCTGAGTGAACGACACCAGGCAAGCAGAAGAGATGCCTCCTGTCTCTTGAGTTCTTCAGCTTTGGGAGATTCCATTCCATTCCTTTTGTTGTTTTTCTCACCTTCATTTTTCTGTCTTCTTTTTGCACCTCAGGCAGATTTTGGACCTCTTAAATTGATCTTCTGATTTTCTCATCTATTTTTCTAACATCTGTCTTTTCTTTATCTTTCTGTTCTATTTTCTGGCAGATATCTTCTACACTTATGCTTAGTTTTTTATTTCACTGTTTGTAATTTTATTTTATTTTATTTTATTTATTTTTAAAGATTTTATTTATTTGTGTGAGAGAGAGAGAGGCAGAGACACAGGCAGAGGGAGAAGCGGGCTCCAGCACGGAGCCTGACATGGGACTGGATCCCGGGTCTCTGGGATCACGCCCTGGGCAGAAGGCAGCGCTGAACTGTTGAGCCACCAGGGCTGCCCACTGTTTGTAATTTTAGTGTCCAAGAGTTCTTTTTTGTTCTCTGAATATTCATAAGAAACTTTAGCGTCAAAAAAAAAAAAAAAGAAAAAGAAACTTTAGTGTCTCATCTTAACTGATCTGCTAATGCTTCCTTTCACTTCCATCTTCCAGAAATGTGTGGACAGTCTTACCTGCTGGTTTCTGGTCTTTGTTTTAATTTAATTTTGTTTTTTGGTCATCTTCTCTTTGTTCTTGGTTCATATCGTTAAAAAAAAAAAAATCCCTTGAGGAGCCCTGGTGGCCCAGCAGTTTAGCGTAGCCTTCAGCCCAGGGTGTGATCCCAGGGTCCCGGGATCGAGTCCCACGTCGGGCTCCCTGCATGGAGCCTGCTTCTCTGCCTCTCTCTCTCTGTCTCTCTCTGTCTCTCTCTCTCTCTCTCTCTCTGTGTGTGTGTGTGTGTGTCTGTCGTGAATAAATAAATAAAATCTTAAAAAAAATCCCTTTTATTTTAGTGAGATTTTGGAAGGAAGCAGAGTTGAATCTACCTTATTAAACTGAAAGTTTATTCTTTTGCTTAACATTTATATATCCTTTTTTACCTTTTTAAAAAAGATTTATTTATTTATTTGAGAGAGCAGGAGTGGGGGTGGGGAGGGGTAAAGGGAGAGGGAGGAACAGACCCTGTTGAGCAGGGGAGCTGGCTGGAAGGCTCAATCCCAGGACCCCAAGATCATGACTGGAACAGAAGGCAGATGCTTAATTGACTCAGGCACCCCACCTTTTTATTTCTTAATATTTTATTTTTAAGTAATCTCTACACCCAGCGTAGGGCTTGAACTCACAACCCCAAGATTGAGAGTCGCACGCTTCATTGTCTGAGCCAGCCAGGTGCCCCAGTGTATCCTCATGTTTTAAATGTACCTTTCCAGACACATTTTGATGTGATCGGTGGATTGTAAAGATCCAGTATGAGAGCCTGAGTTCTGATCGGGTAATTTAGCTCATTATGTGTTACTATAGTTGCTATTCTGTTAGGACTTCACTTATGCCTTCTTGTTGAATGGTTTCTACTTGTCACGTGTTCTCTCTGCTGCTCTTTTTTCCCCATTCCAATCCTTTATTGTCTAGATTGAGTTTCCTGCTGGTTTGAAAGTCACCTACCCTGCTTAGCTCTAACTGGCCATTGCCATGTTTTTCCTGGTCTCTGTCTTGTATCTGGAGGGCCTCAGCCCTGCCCTGCCTCCCTCTGCTCCCCTACCTGTGCTGGTCCCGTGTCCGCTCCAGCCCTGTCCGTCGGCCTTGCTCAGAGCTGTCCTGGAGGGAGTGTAGCTTCAGTGACCTTTAAACAGGTCGCTGAGGTCGGAGGGTGCAAGTCCTGTTGTGGTGGATTCTCAGGGATGGGACCGGGCTGAGAGCTGTCTCGGAGAGCTCGGAATAGCAGACCCTCTGGAGTCGTGCGCTCTGCCTCTCTGACACTCTGCGCCCTGGTCCCCACTTGGCTCTTACGTGCTGTGGGGAATGCTGCCGCAGGACAGACGGGGAAGCGGGAGGAGGGGGCCTCAGACGACAGGGAGGGATGGGGCTACTGTGAGTTGGCAGGGGCCCGCCATCCCAAGCCCCGTCCCAAGTGGCAGCTTTGCGCGATGCCACCGTTATCAGGTAGGAACACGGGCCCCACGGTGCCAAAGCTTTTAGTTTTTCAAGAGAAGCCAGGAAATTGGATTTTCTGTGTGAAATCTCCCGATCTGTATATATTGGCTTGAAAACGTTTATAACCTCAGGAAGGCCAAGTGGCACGTCTGCAGGCTGGATCTGGCCTCCGTGCCACCGTGGTTCCTGCTCTAGCCAGGTGACGATCCTTGCCACCCTCCACTCTCCTGTCTCTTGGAGGAATGTCCCTCCCAGACCTGTGATTTTCTACCCTGTTCCCCTCTTGGCCGCCTCTTCGGAGCTCTTCCACTCGGCCAGCTTGCAGTTCAGTGTCTCATTCTGCAGATGATGGCCCGGCCTAGTGCTGCGCGGCCGCAGCTCCTGGGCGGCCCAGCCTCCCTGCGGGCACTATGGATTCCTTGTGGATGACGAGCGTGAAAGTGAATTTCATTGCTGCTCTGCGAGCGTCAGGCACTCGGCTTTGGGTTTCCTGGAGTCTGTCTGCCGCCAGAGCCCAGAAGTACGAGAGGGGACTCTCGCTGGGGCCGGAGGCGGCCACCGCGCCAGGCCCGGCTGCCCCTGACTGGCCTGCAGAGGGCAGGGTTGGGGCGCGCATCAGAGCTCAGGACCTGCGAGCCTCAGGCGGCCCCTCCTGCCACCCCTCCTGCCTTCCGTGGCCCTCTGGCCCTGCATTCCTTCCCATCTGCCTCTGCCTCTTGGCCTGAGTGGCAGGAGCCTGCTGCTTTATATGCGCTGGGCAGTTGGTGACTCATTCTTCCGCAGCCCCTCAGATAGGGAAGTGAAACGGCCACATCTGCTGGGGCCTGACCTTTGGGTGACAGCGGAAGTAGCTGTGCAAACAGGAGGCTCACTGCCAGGGAAGAAGAAGCCTTTTCCAGAGCCAGGCCGTGCAGAAAGCACTTGCCTGTCCTGGCCCCGTGTGGCTTCCAGGCCAGTGGCTCTGGTAACAGTTTCCTTTCCCTCTCTCCCCCGCCCGCCTGTTTTTTTCTCTGTGACAGCTGGAAGTAGCAGTGGTCACAACTGAGAGAGCCAAACATTTCTACAGCCCCCAGGACATTCCCGCCACTCTCTACAGCGACGCTGATGAATGGGAGGTCAGTGCGCAGGGGCCCCACGGCCGAGTTCCATCGTATTTCTACCAACAGGACAGGAGTGGCCTCTCTGCAGCCCGTGGTCCTGGAGGCCAGAGCAGACGGGCCAGGCTCAAGTCAGTGGTCAGGGCCCTCTGGGCAGAGGCAATGAGGAAAACATCTGTCTAGCTTCTGGCCCGCAGGAGGCCGGGAGACTCCTCCCACCCCAGGCAGAGCTCAGGCCTGGCTGGGTGCCTCCGGTTGAGTGTCCTTGTACTTATCGGGGCTGATGAAACCGCAGAGGAGCTCTGTTCCCACCACCCTTGTCCACGTGGCTCCCAGTGTCAGGGCTGTCGAGATGCCTCGCTTCCCATGGACGTGGGCCCTGCTTCTGCTCCCCTGAAGAGGGGCAGGCCCCGGCCGATTCACCAGACATCGAGTGTGGGCCTCACAGGGGTGCCCTGCCAGGCATTTTTAAACACTCTCAGCCTAGAACATTTCTGGCTGGCCCGTTCCCCTACCCCACCCCCTCCATTCTCACCGCCCCAGAGCCCTTCCACTGGCTTGGACAACCCAAGCATCCGCCTCAAGCAGACAGGCCAGGAGTTCCCTGCCAGATGTCAGTTCTCTTGAAAACCAAACCATAAAGGGAATAGCTCGGAGAGACAAGGGGCGTTTGTTTCCTCAGGCCTGCTTTCTCTCAGGCTCTTGGCTCCACCGCCAGTGCTCACCAGCTTAGCAGCGAGAGGAACAGCAGTGGACGTGGGCAGGCATCGCTCAGGGGGTCTCCCTCTGTTTCTGACTTAAGCATCCCTGGCCTGTGTCGCGCACCGCCCCCCCCACACACACACACTGAGAGAGTAGCAGCTCAATGACTCTGTTTCCTTCCCTCTGCCAGATGTGGAAGTGCCGATCTGACCCTGTTCTCCACATTGACCTGCGGAGGTGGGCAGACCTCATGCTGGTGGCTCCTCTTGATGCCAACACCCTGGGGAAGGTGGCCAGTGGCATATGTGACAACTTGCTTGTGAGTGACTCTGCCCTCCTCCCTCCCTGGGCCTCCCTCCCGGTTTGCTGAGCTGCAGACTGCCTTTGTGCAGGGTTCTTGCCTTGGAATTCTTTTTATGGTGGGCTGATTTGCTCAGAACACAGTCCTCCTGGATCCCCTACCCTCCTCCTGGTCTCACCTATGTTCTGGCAAGTGGGCAGGTGGATGGGCTCGGCTTGTGTATGCTCTCTGAGGGCATGCACCTCTCACCTGCTCTTTGATGCTCAGCTCCTCTCCCTTTGTCATTGGCTGCCCTCGATGAGCTCTTCTGTTGGTCTCCCTGCCCAGCCCCCTTGCCTGCCCCCTCTTAGCCCTGCCTTCTCCCCAGGATCTGGATATCCACATGGGCAATCTGATAAGAGTGTTTACTTCCTCATGGATCTCTTATGCACACTTATCTCTCCTGTAGCATTGGCCACAAGGCAGAAATGTGGTTTTCCTGTGTGTTAGGGAAGGCTTAGAGGGGACGGGAGGAGAAAGACTGGGTGAGGCGTGCTAGCCGGTGAATGGTGGAGGAGAGGAGCAGAAGTCCAGCTGCACAAAGTGGGGATTGTTTTAGGCCTAAGGAACCTCCAGGAAGCTGTTGTCCTAAAAGGTCTTGTTTATCTGATCATCCTGGGAGGAGCTAGGTGTGTGATCTCTCTTCTCCCTCTCTCTCCATTATTACCCTGCTTTCCTCATACATTGAGCTTTTCCCTAACATGAATTGGGCCCCATGCTGAGGGACACACAGGACACAGGAGCTCATGGTCTGGAAGGAGAGGGTTTCTGGTGACCCGTGCAGGTGAGAAGGGAGTATGCTCTGCTGTGTGGTACAGTCTTAAATCACCCAGTTGGTCCTTTGACCATGGAGTCACCACTTTGCACAGTGCTGGGCATCTAGTAAGTTCAATAAATACTTACTGTATATATAAGGTAATTAGTTACTCTACTTTGGCAAAGAGCAAGGACTTTTTCGGAGTTTAATAGGATCAAGAAGTGAATAATGAAGCTGGGTCCCAATTTTGGGGGTCACATAGGAGCTTAGTCTTGTATGCTTGTTGATGCGTGTGTAGGGCACTTCTCAAAGAACCTGCTAGGGATTGAAACATCACTTGAATAAGAGTACAGGGTGACCAGAAGAAGGGCAGCACACAGACTGTATAGCCAGGAGCAGGGGGAGGGGAGTACAGGGAAGAGCGAGCTTAGTGGCAGCGTTATCCAGAAGGCTTCCCAGTGAGGCGGGTGCATGGTTGACAGGGCAGCTGGAGCAGGTGAGGCTCCTGGCCACTTTGATCTCAGTAGGTCTGACTTGGGCATGACCTGCACCATCTCACCAAATTTCTAGGCTTCCCACTGGCTGGTCAGAACCAGCTGATGTGATGAAGCACACTGCCATCTAGGAATTATGCCCCTGGCTGCGCTGGCTCTCTGAGGGCTCCTTTCTTTCCCTCCAAAGCTCTGCTTCCCTTTTTTCCCTTCAAAGCTGCCCCCACTCCCTGAATTCTTCGGGATTCCCTCCTCCTGAGTGGGCTGAGCAGTGGAACATGTTCCTATGACCAATCTCCAGGCCATTTGCCTCAAAAGGTTTCCTTTGAAGGCCCAAATATTTCAAGGAATTATAAATCTCATAAAGTTTAAGCTTTAAGTCATCATCTTCACTCCACGGCTCTGTCCTTACTCAAAAGATGTTTTGTCCTTTTATTCCTGGAAAGAGCACCCTGCTGCCCCTTGCTTTCAGATCTCCCGTCTCAGTGCCCAGAACTTGGGTGCCAGTAGAGCAGTGTGCTGGGTGTGAACCTGTGCGCCAGGCCTCTGGGCCCTCGGCCTGGGTGATGTGCATCTCCATCTGCCCTCTGGCCCACGCAGGCCCTAGCCCCTTCTTTGTGCTAAATAGCTGAGCAGAAGGCTGCCTGGCTAGCTCCGTCAGTAGAGCATGCAACTCTTGATCTCTGAGTTGTGAGTTTGAGTCCCACACTGGGTGTAGAGATTACTTAAAGAGAGAGAGAGAGAGAGAGAGAGAGAGAGAGAGAGAGAGAGAAAGAAAGAAAGAAAGAAGCCAGGAGATCCAGAAAGAGGAGTAACTTCCTTGGGTCACCAGTGTAGCTGGGAGCTGGTCTCCTGCTCGGGATCTAGGCCTTCTTTCCGCCAGGCAGCTTCCCAGGGCAGAGCCTGAGGTACAGAACAGAGCGTTGGCCAAACAGATGTGACCGTGGGAACTGCCGCCTCCTCTCATCCCTCCCACTGCCAGAAGGTTCAGAGGAGCTGTGGTTTGTCTGGAAGCACTGAGCTTTGGCATGAGATGGGAAAAGCTAGAGAGGTATGGGTCATGGAGGTATTGGGTTTGTCCTCTGGTTGGTGTGCTTTGCTCTGAAGACACTTAGAAACCCTAACCCCCACCCCGACCCCCACCCCCACGCTGCACACAAAGCCAGGGGGGGGCTCTTCTAGGTACGTTCGTGACTTTTGCAGAAGCGGCAGATGGCACAGGGCCAAGAGGAAGTGTGCCTGAAACTATCCACTCAGCCCACTGGTTGCCAAATTGAGAGGACTTGGTGGGAAACAGACGCTGGTGTCTGGGACTACACGGGTAGCCAGATCCTGAGGCTCTGTGCTGTTCCACTTCCTTCCTGTCCCTGGGAGAGAATGGGGGCACCGAGAGGGGCGGGCATCAGCTTTGGTCCATCCAGGCCATTGTTTTCTGGGCTCTCCCCTCTTTTCCCAGATGGGCTGCTTCAGGGAAGGGATGTGCTGACCACTGTCTCCCCAAGGGGCCCACAGCTGGAGCAGAGGAGCCGGAGCAGTCAGGGCACAGAGGAGCACCTCCTGGCCCCAGGAACCTATGCCTGGGGAATAATAGGAGCTAATGCTTCTGGAGCCCGTCCTGGATGCCAGGCCCTGTGTGAAGAGCTTTAAGCCTTTTCAGCCCATGCCCCACAGTCATCCAGTGAGGGAGGCTTTTGCAGGGAAGAAGCTGGCCTCCAACATTAAATTACTCGTCCAAGTTCTCCCAGTTAGTAGTAACAGTAGATGGCAGAGTCAGGATTTGAACCCAGGTCTCTGTGATTCTGCCACCCACTGAGCTGGGAAGTCCCTTTCATGGCTCCTCTGGTGTGTGACTTGGTGGGATGGCTGGAACTCGGGAGGTAGTGAGGCTGTGTGCTATGGTGGAAGATGACAGGGCCGGTGTGCAGAGCATCATGCCCTGATCTTTGTCTCCGTGGGACCTTGGGGAGCACAGCTTTCCCGTCTTTGAAACAGGCAGCCCCTCTTCACAGGGTTGCAGCGGGGTGTGTGGGATACTACATATGAGAGGGGTTTTGTCATGTGGAAGGTGTCCTCATTGCCAAGCTTTAGTTGGCCTTGGGCAGCCCGGGTGGCTCAGCGGTTTAGCGCCGCCTTCAGCCCAGGGTGTGATTCTGGAGACCCAGGATTGAGTCTCACGTCGGGCTCCCAGCATGGAGCCTGCTTCTCCCTCTGCCTGTGTCTCTGCCTCTCTCTCTCTCTGTGTGTGTCTCTCATGAATAAATAAAATCTTTGAAAAAAAAAAAAAGAGGGAAAACCTTTTAAAAAAAAAAAAAGCTTTAGTTGGCCTTGAAGTAGGGCTGGTGTTGGGGTAGAGGGGTCCCCACCCCATGAGTGGTCTGGGCCTTTGCTTTGGGGGTAACTGCAAAGCTTGACCTCTGCTCCCCTGGCCGGTTTCTCTCTATGAGGTATGTCTCACAGTGGAGAGGCCTTATGCTCCGGCTCGGAGAGCGCTTTCTGCACAGGAGTAGGGGTCTGTGTGGATGTGGTTGGGCCATTGCAAGTGGCCATTGCAAGAGACCCTCCTGTGGGTAGGCCCTGTGCTGGCAGCTGTAGGGACGTGGAGGGGATGAGGAGACGAGAGATGCAGGGACACAGACAAGTAGCACCCAGTCATCCTTAGCCCATGGCTGGCTGTGACCCAGAGGATGGGGGGCAGGATTTGGGAGCATTGGAGAGGGCTGGCAGGGAGAGGAGCTTGGGAGCACTTACCCGTCCCACCCTGGCCCTTCTTCACAGACCTGCGTCATCCGGGCCTGGGACTGCCGCAAGCCCCTGCTCTTCTGCCCAGCGATGAACACTGTCATGTGGGAGCATCCCATCACTGCGCAGCAAGTCGGCCAGCTCAAGGCCTTCGGCTATGTTGAAATACCTTGCGTTGCCAAGAAGTTGGTGTGTGGAGACCAAGGTGGGCATCTGGGCAGGCCCACAGCCCATCCTCACAGCCCAGGGTCCCAGAAGGGCTCAGCCCTGGGGTCAGATCTGGGTCTACATCCCAGCCTGTTGTGACCTCAGGGAAAGCTTGAGTGTATGTCAAGTGTCTGGTGTCCTTGGCATGTAGCCCATATGCAGTTCATGGTGGCTACTGTTACTGTTCCGGGGCCTGTCGTATGGGTGGCTTGGAAGGGATATGATGGGTCATAAGATATAAGATATAAGAGTTGGCTCTTGCAGAGATGGTCCTGGCCTCCAAAGCGCTGGGCTCTGGGTGGAGCACTCAGGGGAGCATTGAGCAGGGTGGGTGGGGGATGGGCCCCTGCCTCAGTCTATGAGCCACAGCAGAACCTTGCCTCCTAGGTCTAGGGGCCATGGCCGAAGTGGGCACCATTGTGGACAAAGTGAAAGAAGTCCTCTTCTGGCATGGTGACTCTCAGGAGAGTTGAAGCTGGGATCTCTGGCATGTGTATCCCTCTGTACTGAGTGTGTTTCCAGGCCAATCTGTGAAGAAGGTGGACATTGGCAAAATACAGTGAAGACTTCTGTGATTGCTGGGTAGGGGTTTGGCCTGGGCCTGCTCCAGAGCCTCCCCGGGGGCCTGACTTGCCTCAAGTTCAATTAGACCAAAGGCCCAGGTCCCAACTTCTTTCCAACTAGAGATGCCTGCTTTCCAGAACCCGCTCACCTTTCCCCAGGATTGGCATAGCAAGCTGCTGTATGTCCCCGTGCTCTGGGAAGGTCGCAGAAACCTCGATTCTCCCTTATTTCCGGGAGCCACTTCAGCTCCATGGGGGGCTGCCCAGGTGCCATGCTTGCAGACTCAGGGAAGCCTGGAACTGGCAAGACGCCGAGATTCTCCACAGGCCATGCTGTGAGATCAGGGGTACGTGGGAATAGAGAAGAGTGACTTGTGGGAGACTGTCCTTCCTTTACCTCAGTTTGTAGTCTTGGAGATCAGGGGCATTGCTTGGTGTGGCTGGGGAAGGGTTGGGGCGGACAGCTGACCAGCATATCTTCGAGCTACTATCAAATGGTTGTTAAGGGCAGAGGGCTCCGAGGCAGGGGGACCCTAGTTCAAATCCTAGCTCTGGGGACAACCAGGGGGCTCAGCAGTTAGGCGCCCGCTCTCAGCCCAGGGCGTGATCCTGGAGTCCTGGGATCGAGTCCCACATCGGGCTCCCCGCAGGGAGCCTGCTTCTCCCTCTGCCTGTGTCTCTGCCTCTCTCTGTGTCTCTCATGGATAAATAAATAAAATTAAAAAAAAAAAAATCCTAGCTCTGTCACGTGCTAGCAGTGGGACCGTGGCTCAGGGCTCAGCCTTTCTCTCACTTTCCTCATCTCAATTATCCTGCCTTCATGGACTTGTTGAGAGGATTAAATGAGATTATGTGTGCAAGATCTCTACCCCACTGCCTCTTACTTAGTAAATGTCGAATAAAGAGAAGTTAAAGCTAAGTGTGTATTCACACCAGTGAGCTTTTCTAACATTTACTTAAATAGACCCTCTCATTTTGGGAAAAATAAAATAACCAGCCCTTAGCTGTCGTGGCCTTTATGCAAATGAGAGGCAGATAGCCATTGGAACCTGCCCTGGAATCCAGGCCTCTGGTTTCCCCATGTCCTCATCAGCTTTGTGCACCTGAGACTAGGACCTGGGTGTCTGTGCCTCTTCCTGAGCCCCACCCAACAGCACACATGAAGGTGGGAAGTAAACTCTACAGAGAAACAGTTCTGCCCTAGAAAACCCCATCACCCTGCCTTTGACTTAATTGCAGTTTGGTGGCTGCGGGAGGGAGGGGCTTATTCGCCTATTTGGAGCTGAGGTTGGGGCTGGCTTGCTGCCTTCCAGGCCAGGGGTGAGTGAGCACTCCACGCATGCCCTTGGACCACTGAGCGTAGCGGTTACCTTTGAAGGGCACCAGTAAGCCTGTTGACTGGGACCAAGTCTTCCCAAGAGCCTTTATTTCTGCAGCACTTGACTTCATCAAGTGCTTTGGGATAAAGTTGCCTAAGGGCAATAAAGAAAATATAACTAAAATAGTAGCATCACAGACCCAACCTCTCTGGCAGGTTTGAGGGTTGGAGCATGAGGAGGGCCTGAATGATTAAAATCCAGAGACAGTCCCAAAGTTCTATTTAAGTGGTTTCCAATGTCCCTCCCCATGTCCACGTCTCCCTTTCTTTCCCTCAGCAGCCTGCTAAAGAGTAATGAAACGCTCCAATTTTAAGAAACTGCCACATTTACTGAGTGCTTATTGTATGAAAGGCTTTGTGCTGGGCACTTTGGGGAGGACAACTACCCAGCAGAGCTGCTACACCATGCCTGTTCTAGAAGGCCACAGGAGCAGAGAGGTTGATAGGCTTCTACCTAATACTTCTGCAGATAGCTGTGGCTCCTCAGAGCAGGCCGGAGATTTGTTGGCTGGAAGGAGAGAGGTCCCCAAGGCAAGGGCCAGCAGCGGGCTCCATCCTTAGGCTCCCCCAGGCCATCGCTGCAATCCTTTATCCCTGCTGCCTGTTTTGAATGGGGGTGAGGGTTGGGCTGCTGCTGAAGAGCCCAGCTCTCCCCTGAAACCCTGAGGCTGGAGTTAAGAGGAGAGGGGAGTTAGTGTCAGGCTGCACTTACCTGGCCCCAACTGAAGAGGAGTGTTGAGGTGGAAGTGGGAGCCACAGCTTTCCCCACCAGGAGTCAAAGCTCTTAAAGTTGGCAGCATCGAAGTTAGAAGTGTTTCTCAGAGAATATGGTAGTTTCTCTGACTTTTTAAAAAGATTTTATTTATTTTTTCATGAGAGACACACACACACAGAGGCAGAGACACAAGCAGAGGGAGAAGCAGGCTCCATGCAGGGAGCCCAGTGCGGGACTCGATCCCGGGACTCCAGGATCGCGCCCTGGGCCAAAGGCAGGCGCCAAACCGCTGAGCCACCCAGGGATCCCCCCAAGCTTCTTGTATTAACAAAAAAAGGTGTGGGGGTGCAGGAGGGGGCAGTCTTGCTCAGAAAGGAGCTCCTTTCTGAGTAAAACACACGACCTAGGAGCCATAAAAGCAAAGACTAATAAATTTGCTTACAGAAAAATAAACAAATCTGCCTAGCAATAGCCCAAAGGCAAGGTCAAAAGGCAAACAAGTGGGAAATTATCTGCAGCTCACATAACAAAGGACTAATGCCTCCTAATACATAAAGAGCTATTCATTGACTAGAAAAGGACCAAGAGTACAAAAGAAAACTGAGCAGAGGATAAGAAATCAAGTCCACATGTATATGTATGCTCGAGTGTGTGCGCGTGTGCGCGCACACACACACAAACACCCCACATGGCTCTTAAACATAAAAAGCACTCAGCCACATTCATGGGGAGAGGGATGCGAACCAAACTGCACTCAGCAGAGGTTTCTGTCTGTTAGATTGGTGAGGGCGAGGGGACTGGCACCCGTTACTTTGCTAGTAGGACTGCATACAACCTTGCTGGAGAACAATTTGGAAATATCTATCAAAATTACATTTTGATAAATTATGTACTGGGGCCACCTGGGTGGCTCAGCAGTTGAGCATCTGCCTTTGGCTCAGGGCATGATCCTGGGGTCCCGGGATGAAGTCCCACATCGGGCTCCCTGCATGGGGCCGGCTTCTCCCTCTGCCTGTGTCTCTGCCTCTCTCTCTCTCTCTGTGTCTCTCATGAATAAATAAATGAAATCTTTAAAAAACTTACATATGTACTTTACCCTTAGACCCAGCAATTCTGCTTCCAGGGATTCATCCCACAGATACACTCACACATATGACGTATATAGTCTGAATAAGGCTATTCATCACAGCATTGTAGGTGGCAGTAAAAGGCCAGGAGCACCCTCACTAACTAACTACCGGAGATTGGTTGCATCAGTTAGGGACTGGAACATGTTGCAGCCACAAGATGAGTGTGAGGAAGCCCTCTAGGTGCCGTCCAAGATATGCTGCTAAACAGAAAATGCAAGCTGCAGAACAAATGTCTATTGCATGCTAGTTGGTGTGCAAAAAAAGTGAGGGCTGAAAAGGAGGATGTATTCCTGTTGGCTTGTAGATGCATCAAACACCTATTGAAAAATAAACAAGAAACCAGTCCATTGTTTGCCTCTTGGCAGCAGAACTAGGTGTGATTGAGAAAGGTGGGAGGCCAGCTTCATTTTAAGTTGTGAGGCAGATGAGTATATTATCTCCCACAAAGGCAGTAAATACACACATTTTATTTTATTATTTTTTAAAGATTTTCTTTATTTATTTGACAGAGAGTGAGAGAGCACAAGCAGGGGGAGCGGCAGGCAGAGGAAGAGGGGAAGCAGGCTCCCTGCTGAACAGAGAGCCCAACACGGGGCTTGATCCCAGGACCCTGGAATCAGGACCTGAGCTGAAGGCAGCTGCGTAACTCAATGAGCCACACACATTTTATTTTATTTTAAATATTTATTTATTCATGAAAGACAGAGGCAGAGACACAGGCAGAGGGAGAAGCGGGCTCCATGCAGGGAGCCCAACGCGGGACTCGATCCCAGGACCCCGGATCACACCCTGAGCTGGCTCAACCACTGAGCCCCCCAGGGATCCCAAGCCACACACATTTCAAAATGGGTTATTTCTGTCCTTTATCCAGAAGTTCCTAAAAATGACGGGGGCATCTGGAGATTTCCATTGAGGCCTCTGGAGTAGAAATGGGTCTGGTTTTCTTGTCATGAGCTAATTAATAGAGGAGGAGAGCTTTTGAATACCCCCGAGGGCTACTCATAAGCCTTTGAGACGCCTGATCTCAAGCAGCTGATGGTCTACGGGAAGATCCAAGGCCTTAAAACAATCAAGTGACCATGAGAATCAAGCGTGAGACTGTGCTAGTCTAAGCTGCGTGGCTCCGAATCGAGTAGTGTGGGTGGGCCTTTGGAGGCTGTAGAACCCGCGCCCATGCTTTCTGGAGGACTGAAGAGTGGACACGGGGGGAAGCCCTGCGGCCGCGTACCTGGTGAAGGACACATGCGTAGGAACCCGGGCTCCGTGTGCTGGGGATGCCGGAGCTTCAGCAGGGAGCCCGGCGACTGTGCAGTGTGGTGTGGTGTGGAGGCTCGCTGGGTGGCTCGCGGGACACGTTGGAGGGTCAAGGAGGAAGCCAGATGCTAAGCTGGGGAAGCAAGGCTGTGCCAGCCTGTGCTTCTGGAGGGGAAGGGGGTGCAAAAGTGAGTGAGGACGTGAAGAAAATCCAGCATGATTAGAAAGTAGCAGAACCACTGCCCTGTGGCTAGAGGTCCCCCCTGGGGCTGGGGGACACTTAATGGCAAGATTTATTAACAGCCCCTAGTGCCACCCACTAAAAAGAATTTTGCTTTGCTTACCACAGTTTTTTCTCTCAGGATTGTTTAGTCTGCCCTCACGGTTCCTGGGCATTTTGTGGTGGGGAATTAGGGAAAAAACAGACTGAGCTACAGAACTGGGGAGATGGCAAGAAAGGGGAAGGGAGTCTTAGTTTTTATATTGTGTCTCCTTTGAGTGGCAAATTCCGGTACTGGGTCAAGGGGGAGAAATTAAAGCAATGAGCCGAGAGCCGATGAACTCTCCAGTAAGGGGCCGAGAGAGGCCTGAGTGGAGGGGGGCAGCTGAGCCATGTGGGTGGCCAGGAGTTGGGGCTCCATTTGGGACTTGGCTTAAGAGTCTTTGAGCTGCTGAGGGGGTACAAGGAGATGGGGGTGGGGGCTATGGGAGTTTTTAAGGAATGTGGCTGACGATTGTGAGTTGGACACACTTTAGGTTCTTCAGGAGGCCTCCCTCTTCAATTCCTTGGCCAGCGTGTGCTTCTCTGAGTGAGACTGCGCAGGGTTCAGCCACCTGGAGCCCTGCTTCCCTTTGGGTCATATACACGTGGTGGGTGTCCTGCTGAGTTTCCTGGATCTCCTTCTCCCCTCCTAACACCACAGCTGGGTGATGGGGTCAGCTGGATTTCAGACAGTGACAGTGAGGGTCACTGGCCAGTTCCTCGCCCTGCCCAGGGGCGCCTCTCCTCTGGCTGTTGCAGCAGAACCCGAGCTCCACCCTTATTAGCACTTACCTCGCTGAGGTCCTTTGAGATGCTCCCTCCACCACACACCACCACTACCACCAGATACCTGTTTTGGTTTTTTTTAGTCCCAATTTAGTAGCTGCCTCATTACCTTTTTCCTCCCATAGTTTCCTTCACACATACATTGTGGTTTCTAGGGCAGCACAGAAATCTGAAATGTCACGCAAATGCCCCTGAACAAAGAGCCCTGGAATCAGATCCCAGTGACTGACAGCTTGTTTACACCAAGAGCTTCCTGGTGGAACCAAATATTCTACAATATTCAAGGCAGGTTTGGGACTACCTGGGGCAAGGCGAGGAGCAGGCCAGAACTGCCAGTTGTCTAATAGCAAAGGAATGTCAGGAGTGGGTGGGTGCGAGGGCAAGAGGCTCGGAGACTTGGGCTTTGGGGCCTGTGGAGGACATGCTGCTAATCCAGCTATGATCTGGGAGCATGTTTTTCCCTGGTTGCAACAGGCTGGTCTCATGGTGGCTTTATCTACTGAAGTTTCGTGGTTACCCTTTGCCTGCTGACCCAGATAGCAGGTCCCTGGGGGAATTGGAGGCCCAACAAACTCCCTGTGGGTCTCCGGATTCCTGGAAGAGCGGGGAGAGTTCAAAGGTGCCTTCACTCCGTGTGAGTGGGGGCTGAGGCTTCCCGGCTGGCCTGGCTACTCAGCAGTGCTTGAGGCCAGAAGGCAAGGCTGGGGCGCCCCGGAGCCTGCAGTGGAGCTCGGGGTGGGGGTGGAGGCCCTTTCTTGCTCTCAGGAAAGAGCACAGGTAGGCAGCTCACTTGTCGCCTGGAACTCCTAAAAGTCACCCCCTCGAGAGGGGAGCAGTTGAGCTCTGGAGCTCCACTCTTGGGAAACTGGCATCATGGGGAGCGGGCATGCTTCTCTCCGGCACCTGGCATGTGCTTTGCATTCCTTATCTCATTTCTTCATCTTCACCCGTCCTTCCGGATAGGCATTGCGATCCCATTAAAATTAAGAACCCGAGGCTCAGAGAGAACTACAAGCCAAGACACGGCCCCTTAGAGGGTGCAGAAATGGGTGCTGCTCTCATGGGCTGGGCCTGAGCTGGGAACAGAAAGAGGCGCAGGTAAGCTAACCGAGTATTTTGTCACCCCGAGTGAGCACCTCTGAGAGTAAAAAGGGGACAGTGAACACATCAGGACAACAGGCATCCACTGGGACTGACCCGGGTGAACCAGGATGTGTGGTCGCCCTACCCCGTGAGCACTGCTCAGGGCTAACCGCCAGTGTTTATAATGCAATCCTCATGGCGATCCCTGAGGTGGACATTAGCCCCATTTGGCAGATGAGCAAACGGGGGCTTGACTTCCTCAAGATCCCATAGCTTTGAAGTCGGCTCCAAGCCCTGCTGCCTCTCAGGCCCCGAACCTTTGGAGGTGACCAGAGGATGAGAGCAGCTGGAGAAGCAGCTAGAAAGCTCGAGTCTTCGAGTGTGCCAGGCTGTGTGGCAGGCCGTCCCTGCAGTCTCTGGGTAGCCTCTTCCAGGACTGGCATGTGAGCAGTAGCTGAGGAAGGTGAGTGTGTGTGGTGGGGGGCTGGGCAGGGTGGAGGCCCCAAAGGCTTCTGTAGCATTCCCTGAGCTTCCTGGGCCTCCAGGGAGGCAGTGGCCAAGGCAGGCAATTTTGGGGGGGGAGAAAACATCTTCACTGAGTTGGCCCATTTCTAGGATTGGTGAATAGGAACACTGAGAGATCTCAGGGCACCTTTCCCAGAGCCAGGACTGGCTCCCCCGGGGCTCCCGGGGAGACTGGTAGCCTGGGATGCAGGCATACGCTCGCTCGTTATGGGCAGTGGGTAAGGTCATGCATAGGTGGAGGGTTTGTGAGCCTCCGGGTTATTTCCTTCTGACCTTCACCAGCCAGGCTGGCCTTCCGGGGGGGTGGGGGGTGGTGGCAGATATGGAGGGCCCGGGCCAAAGGTCAGATGGCCTTTGCAGGCCCCTTGACATATTGCATCACAGGTGGATGCGCAGCCTAGGCCGCCGGTCATCCAGCCAGGCCGTCCGCACCACCTGTTAGCACCCATGCCGGGGTGGGTTGCAGGCTGGCAGGGCTGGCAAAGGGAAGGAAGTCCTTTCCGTTGGGGAGGACCAGTCAGTCTGGGGCACTTCACACAAGTGCAATGGCCTAAGGCCTCTGCAAGCCAATGTTGTACAATTGAAGGCTGATCATGTTTCTTCATTCATTAAAAAAAAATGAATAGACTTTTACTTTGTAGAGTAGCTTCAGGTTCACTGCAAAACTGTGTGGAAAGTATAGTGAGTTCCCTGATACCCGAACCCCAACACACGCACAGCCCCTTCCTATTCATTCATCCTTCGAACTCTGTGTCCAGACACTGTCCTGGACCGAGGCCCAGCCCTCACCTCAAGGTACTTCCAGCTTAGTGAAGTAGATGGAAGAGCAGATAGGCCAGCCCGGGAGGGGCTCAGGGATGGAGGTAAGTAATCCTAGGGTGCCAGAGCGCAGGACAGCCCACTCCCTGCAGGGGCAGCCTGAGGAAGGAGGAGCTCTCCAGGAGGCTCTTTTGGGCTGAATTCTAAGAGGGGGGAGGCATTTAGCAAAGAGGTCAGGGAGGCCAGAGTGGGGGGCAGTGTGTGCAGAGGCCTGGGCCTGCTTTGCATCTGAGCCGGGCTCTGGGTCCAGCTTTGAGGCTGGCTGTGGTAGGTGGAGGCAGGAGGACTCCCTTCCTGCAGAGCCTGAAGCTAAAGGGTTTAGTCCGAGAAGGAAGAGTCCAGGTGGGCCAGAGCCAGCAGGGGGGCTGACTGGCATGGGGGGGCGGCGAAGGCCTTTGAAAGAGTCTGTGCAGGGGGGGGGGGCTCAGCAGCTGAGCGCCTCCCCTCAGCTCAGGTCGTGACCCCGGCGGCGTCCCAGATTGAGTCCCGCATCGGGCTCCCTGCGTGGAGCCTGCTTCTCCCTCTGCCTGTGTCTCTGCCTCTCTCTCTCTGTGTGTGTGTGTGTGTGTCTCTCATGAATAAATAAATAAAGTCTTAAAAAAAATCTGTGAAAACTCAGCTACTGGATTGTGCAAACTGTGGCTTTAAATGTGTTCTGAACATGCTTTCGGGGTGTTCCCCGATGCCTCCAGTGTGAGCCCCTTGAGGACGGGCTGTTTTTCTGAGGGTCCACGGGCCGATGCCCCCCTCCCCTCTGCCCAGAAATAGCCTTGACCAACAGTCTCGTCCCCCGAAGCAGCAAAGCCGCACCTGGCACAGGTCTGTGCCCAGAAGGGCTTCCTGGGTCCTGTCAGGGTTTCTCCGCGTCCTTATCCCTGGGGGTGGTTGTGGGGAAGGGGCATGAGAGAAGGGAACACCCCTTTCTGACCAAGTGAGCAAGGCACCCAGAGGGCCAGGACTCGACTCCTGTCTGCAGCGAGGCCGAGGCACAGCCAGCGCCCCGGCCCGAGTCCCCCTGACCGGCGTCGCCACCAGGAGCAGGTGCGTGTCGCCCATGTGGCCCGGACGGGTCTCTGCTTCCTTGGCTGCAGGGGTGCCAGGAGGTGTGCCCTTGCCCTGTGATTCTGGAAGAGAGGCGAGGACAAAGGGCTGAGGCGGTCCGGGAGGGAAGACGTCCCGAGGTAGGGAAGTCCCGGAGCCGTCCTACACCCAGGGACACCTCTCCCCACGGCCACTCCGGGCCTGCAGCGGACCAGCCCTCCCGGGCCTGGGGGCCGACCTGCCGGGGCCCGAGGGGCAACGCGCTGCTCCCGCCAGCGTCGTGGGCAGGACACGCATGTTCTGAGCATCGGGGGTCAGGTTCTTTTCATACATGACTAGTTCTTTTTTCCTTTTTTAAAAAGATTTTTTTCATGAGACACACACACAGAGAGGCAGAGACCCAGGCAGAGGGAGAAGCAGACTCCACGCAGGGAGCCTGACATGGGACTTGATTCCAGACCCCGAGATCATGCCCTGAGCTGAAGGCAGATGCTCAACTGCTGAGCCCCCCGGGCATCCTGCACACATGACTATTTTGTGTCATCCTGTGAGGTGGACACTGTTACCATCTCCACTTTACTGGTGAGTACGTTGAGGCTCAGAGAGGTGAAGTGACTCACCAAAGGCATAACCTGGTACGTGGCGGTGCCTGGAATACAGGCCCAGGCCTGGCCGCGTCTAAAGCCCCGGGCAGCCTTCTCCACCTGGGCAGGATGGAGCTGGGTGGCTATGCAGGGGCGTGGCCTAATCAAATCAAATAACACGGTGCTTCATTCATTCATCCCCTGGATTCCCTCTCTGTTGTACATATTTCTTATGCCAGCACTGTGCTGGGTATTGGGGAGGCACACGGGGAGGAGCAGAAGCACATATGCTCCCTGCCCTGGGGGCTGGCTATCTAGTGGGAGGGACAGACCTTTATCAGATGAGGAAGAAGAAGCACTCTGATAAGCACCACAGAAAAAAGTACAGAATGCTATGGGAGTGGTGACCACAGGGCCTAATTTCATGAGGGCGAGAGGGGAGCGTTTCAGGAAAGACTTCCTGGAGGAAACGAACAGAGGAAAAATGAATGACCAGTAGTTAGCTGGGGAAGATGCACCAGAACATTCCAGGATTCCAGGCCAAGGTTACTGCCTGTGCAAAGGTAGGAAGGAGAGTGCTAGTTGGGGAAACTGAAAGAAGGGCAGAGGGTAGTAGGTCAAGGTGGATAAGGATACACAGAAGCCTAATGGGGTGGGGCTTGGGGGGCCACGGCAAGTAGCTGTGGGAAACCGAGGCAGGCGCGTGTGAAATGAGAGCTTCCTCTGTTTGCCATGAGCTAAATGAGAATACACAACGATGCATGTAGCGTCCCCAAAAGTTTGGGCCGCATTAATAGTGGCATGGCATGCAGATCGAAGGAGGTGTTTGTTACTCTTTTTGACCCAGACTGCACCTGAAGGGTTGTGATCCTCTCAGAGCCCTTGCTGTCCAATATCTACTGGAGAAGAGCAAGCATACTGAACAGATTTACAAAAATAGCTGGATGTGCCAGGAAGAGCAGCCCCAGTAAAAGGAGTGTGTGCTAGACCTCTGAGGAATCTCCTGGAGACACAGTTCAACTCCATAGAGAGCAAAGCATCCCAGCACTTCAGGTTTATGAAAGACAGAGTGAGCTACTGTGAGGCACTGAGCCTCCTACTCTGGGGGATCTGAGATATAGAGGAGGAGCCTGCTTAGCTTAATGTGTGGTCTAGCTTCAGTCCATACTGTCCGCCCTCCCCCTGCTCCCTCTGAGCTGGAGACCCACCACACAGGTCAAAAGAACACAGGGTCCTGGGCCACAATCACAGTGGTGACCTTAGCTAGCCTAGGGTGGGCTCTAGCTTTGTTCTCTGTAGATTGCTCTGGGGAAACCAGGCATCGAGGATGGTGGTGGTCTTAGGCCTGCGTGCTGGCTGCTGCTGTTTGCCACCTAAAGCTGTTTCCCAGGGCACCTCTTTAAGAATCCGGAGTACTTTTGGTAACCAGGACGGTCCAGTTGTCTGTCACATGGTCTGCACTCAGTCAGAATCTAAGAGAAGCCAACAAATCCCTCTTCCACTTACCTACCAACTGTGTGCATATTGAGACTTCCCAGAACTCCTATGTTTCCTTAAAGAGAGGGCTGCTGGGATCCCTGTGTGGCACAGCGGTTTGGCGCCTGCCTTTGGCCCAGGGCGCAATCCTGGAGACCCAGGATCGAATCCCACGTCGGGCTCCCGGTGCATGGAGCCTGCTTCTCCCTCTGCCTGTGTCTCTGCTTCTCTCTCTCTCTCTCTCTCTGTGACTATCATAAATAAATAAAAAATTAAAAAAATAATAAAAAATAAAGAAAGGGCTGCTGTGGCTCTTATAACCCGGAACTCTCACTCTTGATCCCCACTCTCTTTTTTCTTTTTTTTAAGATTTTATTTATTTATTCATGAGAGACACAGAGAGAGAGAGAGAGAGAGGCAGAGACACGGGCAGAGGGAGAAGCAGGCTCCATGCAGGGAGCCTGACGCGGGACTCAATCCAGGGACTCCAGGATCACGCCCTGGGCCAAAGGCAGGTGCTCAACCGCTGAGCCACCCAGATGTCCTGCTCCCCTCTGTCTTTGACATTCTGTTAGACCTCAGACCTGTCTTCTTTCTTGACAAGAGCTCCAACCTGTGCCCTTTGCTCCTTCCCACTGCCACTATAACCTCCAGACCTGTTCTTCCACATGGCCCTGCCACGTGCCCTCTGTCCCCCACTTGGCCTGTCTACTCTCTGAGTTCTGGAGCTGGGGCCAATTGCAATTTTTTGTAATTGAAGTGTATATATCTTAAGTGTACAGCTTGATAATTTTTGCATGTGCGTGCACCTATATAACTAGCACCCAGATCAAGCTACAGAACATTTCCAGGTCTACCCTTTTAAAAGAGATCCATCCTCAAGACTACTACTACATTATTATTGGACACTTGGCAAGTGTTCCCTTTTATTCCAACTAGCTAGAGGACAGGAATGCATCCTGTTTACTGTTTTTCCTTGTCCCACCTGGCCTAGCACAGAGCCATGCCCATAGGAGATGCCCCTCGAGGCCCATTAGATGGAGGGATGTAGAATTTGCCAAGTATATCTCATACTATGTGCTCAGTTGTCCCTCAGAAATGTGGGAGAGGTGACAGAGATGGAGGAGGTCACTGGAGTGCAGGAGAATCCCTGAGCACTGAGTGTGCTGGTTCGGTTCAGGTGACCTGTCAACCCCAGGGTGATGTGTACCGGGCTGGAGGCACACATTCTCAACAGAGGGCTCAGGTGTGTGGAACATCCTGTATGGAATGCCCTTCCCTGAGGGCACTGGCAGTAGCATGGAGCTAGCAGAGCTCCCAGCCTGGCAGCTCCCAAGCCTCTGGTTTGAGCACTTGCCGCTGGTTCAGAGAGCTGAAGGAATAGGGCCAGACCCAACTCAGGCGAGTTTGAATGCCTGGTGCGGAATGCCCTGAGGGAGGGACGCCTGGGTGGCTCAGCGGTTGAGATCTGCCTTTGGCTCAGGGCCGGATCCTGGATTCCCAGAATCCAGTCCCACATCAGGATCCTTGCATGGAGCCTGCTTCTCCTCCCTCTGCCTGTGTCTCTTGACTCTCTTTCTGTGTCTCTCATGAATAAATAAATAAAATCTAAAAAAAAAAAAAAAGAATGCCCTGAGGGAGGTCAGAGGGCATGGGTTCTCACTGGGAGGCCAAGACCTCCCCTGCTGGCTGCCTTTTTCTGGGATAGCCTGTCCCTTCCCTCCTTTTAATCCATAACCTTGCTTGGGAGATGATATCGGGAAGGAAATAGAGCTTTGGCCTTGGGCTTGAGCAGCAAAATGGGAATAGCAGGAAGGAGTTGGAGGGAAGTGTGGAAGCGGGCAGCACGTGTATGTGGCACACAAAGTCCAGCAGTGCCTCAGAGAACTGTGTTCCCAGGCTATTGACACTTGAAGATGTGCTCTTTGCTCTAAGACACAACTCTCCAGTTCTTTGGGGAAAAGAGAGGGACCTCTTTTCTGGGGCCCAGATGCTAGTTGTCACTGAGGGTCTTCCCCTTGGGTGAGCTCTGCATCCCTCAGACTATATTGTTCAGATTTCCTCTCATCTTTCTGACTGTAGTAAATATGTCTCACATGAGGCTTGGGGACCCTGGCTGAATCTTGGCTTTTATATCATCTCTGTTGCTCCAGGACTCAGTACAGGGCTTGCATCCCAGGTCCACCTAACACCAACATCTTATTAACCACTCTGTGTAAGGCAGCAGGACAGCAGAATCTTATTATTAGGGATGGCCTGTCCCTCTGTAATTGATAGAGGCATGATCGTGAGCATATGACGTCAGATAGGAAAGGAGGGAGAAAAGGAGGGGAAGTGCACATCAATGCTTAATGCAGATGATAAGGATTAACTAAAGTACCTTAGATTAATTTATGAATGGGAAAGGCTGGGACCTGCTAGGGTGTAATGTTATCCTTATTTTACTAAAAGAGAAACTGATGCTCAGGGGATTTACTCAATCAGCGTCAAGAAACAGGAAGATGTGAAGATGTGACT